CATTCGTACATTATTATAATGCTGTATATAATTATGTAATAATTTATGCAAATTTATGTGCTTTACATATATGTAAGCCTACCGAAGGTCCGTAGAATGTACAAAATGTTATTAAAAATTACTGTGAACTTACGTAGTTTTTTACATAGTGATTTCATAAAAAAAAGTTCGTGATGTTGATCTTAAAAAAATACAAAATCATCAAAAGAATACTAAAATTTACTCTTTTGCCCTTATTCTAAACTTTTTTATCCAACTCATTTCAATAATTGATTGAAAAAGTTAATTCTATTTACTACTATTAAGTAGTGAATTAATAGAATTATCATGTCAACCAATCACAATCATGCCATCATATTTACATAAATTTTTCCAACACTTTACGAACAACAAATATTTTGACAATTTCAAATCAATTAACCGGCTTATAAAAACATTTTAAAAATGTTAATCATAAAGGTGAAAATTAATTGATAGTAAAAATAATAAATTAGAGTAGTATTAAAGATATATGTCTTTTTTTTTTTTAAGAAACAGTAGAATTGTTCAACAATTATAATTGGAGAAAAAATGATTGTCTATGCCATGTTTATGATAGGTAATTCGTTCATATTTGTCGTTTGCCCATTCGTAGCATTCGTACCACACGTTGTTTTTGTAGGAAAATGATTATTTGTTGGTAATGGCTTATGACAAATATCAAGACCTTTGAACCAAGGATCCTCTGTAATTTGCTCGGCAGTGATACGTAAGTCGGGATTTGGTTCTATTATTTTGAACATCATACGACGTTGATCCTATTTACGACGAACATTGAGTGTGAATTATTAAAGATATAATAATAATGATATAATATTAAAATAATCTTAAATATTTTTTATTGCCATTTACCTCTGTTAATCTTTTAAAAGGTGCTAAAAAATATTCTTCATGTTCTCTTGACGCTAGGTAGATACTGTAATCCAAATCTTCATGTTCTTTGGCGATACTCCAAAGAAATCCACCAGTAATCATCTTCATGTAAATGATTCCACAAGCCCAAACATCAACAGGCCTTGGATCAAACCATTTACCAGTAAACGCTTCGGGAGCAATGTAAGGACCACTACCGCAAGCCCCACGTGATAAATGAGTATGTGTTTCCCATGCCATCTTGAAACATTCACCATTTCCGAAATCCGTAATTTTGAGACATCCGGTCGAGGTGAGAACAAGATTTCCAAGTTTAAGATCCCTGAAAAATAAAATAATTAGTAACCATATTCCATACATTATAAGTGTTCAATAACTTATTTACCTATGAGCAACACCACACTCATGCAAATATTTGACACCATTAATCAATTGCCCAAAGAAACAATCAGCTTCACTTTGTTCCAAGCCACCCGAAGAAGCAATCAAGGAAGATAAATCTCCACCAGCACAATATTCCATAACTGCACAATAGCATCCTTGGGTATCCTGAAGCAATTCTATTGTGTCAATTATATTAATATGGTGAAGGGGAGAGGAAATACAAAATTCGGATATCGAGCGTTTGATATATTTTTTTGGAGGTTCGTTATGGAACTTTTTGAATTCCTAAATCATAATTTTGAATAAAAATCAAATTTATTTCTTAGATACTCTCTTGTGATAAACACAAATTAAAAGATTAAAAAAAATAAAAGAAAAAAACCTTAACAGCAAAAAGCTTTTCACCCGGTACTTTTGGTTCTGTTTTGTGAGCAACACGGACAGTGCCAAACGCACCTGAATAATAATGATGTTGACTTAGTTATCGACAAATGTGATTTATGTGATATATGAAACGTAAATAAATAAATATGAATATAATTAAATAAAGCACACCTTTGCCAATGACCTCCTGGGGCGTTCCATATTTTTCCGACAAATCAGAACAAGTAGATTTCATCGATTTTCTTTTCGTAGCATTTTCCTCTTTTTGAGATTTTTCATCCATTGGAGCATGTCCATGAATCCCAAGTTCTTTTAAGAGATTATTAATATGATAAACTTTTTTGGGTTTCAAATTGTGAACATGTGATCCATTATTGAGTTTCTGAAAACGTGGTTTTGAAGCACTTGGATTCATGGGTCGAGTATTATTTTTTTTTTCGGTTCGTTCATCTTCAGGACCAACGGAATTTTTCGAACTTTTGGAGGTTTTTGGTTTATCAACTGACGGTTTTACATGAAACACTTTTTGGAATGTCGCTTGTAAAAGATTTGTTCTGCCCTCTTTTTGTTTTGTGATATTGGAAGTTGGTCTGATATTCTTATCATCTGTCTTTTGATCCGAGTCGTTTGTTGAAGCTACTAGTTGATTATTGTTGTCTGTCAAAAAAAAAAAAAAACATAGATATATATATAATTGAGTGATGATAACGATAATTATTTATTCTATTATAGTTTGCATAAAAAATGCATACCGGATTGGTCGTTTAAGTTATGCATTAGAATTGTAATTCTTTTAAAACGACAGAAAAACGGTAATTAACGCTGTTTATAGGAGTAAAATCTAATACAGTACAGTATGAAGAAATTTCAAAATTTAAGAATTTTTTTAAAAATACACTGATGTAAGTTGATTATTTAATTTGTGGTAATTTAAAGTGCGGGGAAGCATCAAATTTTTTCTAGTTATATATGGAAAAACAATTTAGTTTTTATTTATCAGGTGTTTATATTGCCGTTGTTTATTAGAGACGGCCTAAATTACACAACACTATAGATGAAATCTAAATGAAATCGCGTACATAAACAAATACGTAACATAGCAGATCTTATCCAGAAACTATCAAATTATATCAAATTATATCAAATTACGTACTTTGTGGCTTATTATTGTTGAACATAAAAATAGTAACAATAGTATAATTTTCTCCGTTTAGTTAATTAAAAATCATTTGTTTAAGTCGGCCGACCTATATTCTAGTTCAAGCATATATTATTAATCACTGAATCATGAGAAAAAAATGTACTTATTGTTAATGGTAATACTGTACGAGTAATTGCCAAAGTATAATTACTCAATGAAATTATATTGAATACTGTATTCGGCAACTAAATTAAAATCAGTTTACTGTAAAAATAT